GTTAGCATCACCCATTCTTTTTTAGCTTATTTTATGCTCATTGATCCTTTCTCCTTAGTGGTGATATATTCTCTCCCCCACATTTGAACTTCGCAATGTCCACAGTGAAGATCACAATAAGAAAAACACTATGGAGCTAAAGTTAAAAGAATGGAGCAGCCATGCTAATAAGAAGTAGGCGTTGCTGAAGCACTGCTCCTAATTATTTGACCCAATGTTTCTCTTTCTTCATATACTTGTACACTTCCTTCCCTTTTTCATCAGGACATATAGATTACGTAGAAAAAAGTGGTTGGACAACCTTCTTCTCATCAAGGTATTTTATTGCATGAATCACGTTGAAGGTGAACTCTTCATCATGCACATCAAGGAACTCTTTGAATGATAACCCCTTGTTTTTTGCATTTTCAGCCTTGGAAGGTGGAGTACATAGGATGGAAGATCTGAAAGATGAATCACACCTTTACGATCTGGGTTTTGACTAAAGGATGAGTGAGTGGCAGTGGTCTTTGCCTCTGTTGGTGCTATAGCAATAGAATTAAAGCATAACAGACCTGTTGTAGCATCGCCCGTCATAAATGATTTCTTTTTTACGTCATATGCATGGGGATTACAATGGGAAGTCAAATCTATTAGTATTGAGGGATATAACCTCTATAATCTCTATATCCCTTTCTTTCTTACTGTCTGGGTTGGGAAACTAACAACATCAGGGTTGTTATGGTGGCATCAAGAAATGTTGAAATAGGATCTGTCTCGGGTTCTTTTTTAGGAAAAATCAGTAGGTCCTTAAAAGCTGTGTTTTCTACAGGACCATCTTCATCTAGATAACACACATGCTACAACATTAGCAGCAGGATATGTTGCTGCAACAACAGAATGCAGATATGAGCAAACATTCATGTTTTTAAGCATGTTAGCCACACATACGAGTTGTGCAACAAGTGCACTATATGCATCTATTTCATGTGTCTTAGTTGTTTTGTTGTTGTGTTAATGTATTTGGATCCAATGAAAATTATTATTTGAGATCTTTTGAAGTATGTCAAACCCATCATTATAGGTACAAATTGTAAAAGCTCCTCTTGTTCCAGATAGAAGATAGAAGGAAATACGTTTTCAAAAAGTTATCTACAAGATCATTCCAAGATATGATGGAACCTTCTTGAAGTGTTAAACCAAGAATTTGCTAGATCCATTTGAGAAAATGTAAACAACTTCATCCGTAAATGTAAACATATTCATCCCTAAGGCATCATTGGAAACTCCAGAGATTATAAAAAAGAATCATTTATTTCCATGAAAGATCTTTAGTACAAATGAAGGTCTTTGGATGGAAAACCACTTAATTTGCCATTAGTTTGCAATATCTGAAACATAACAGGCTTGAACTTAACATGCGTTGCCTCATTGTGTGATTTTAGTATCCCTAATTTAATTGACTAAAATCAAGAATAATTTAGTCCAAGATTACTTTATCCTGATAATCAACAATGCTTATGTAGAGATGGCAAAAACACCTAAAATTGATTATGAAAAACCAAAACTTTTGAGTCGGGTTCGGGGACATATTAACGGGGATGGGGCAAGGATCGGGGATATATTCGGAGATTTTAACAGGGACGGGGACGGGGATGGTGTGATCACCGGCCCGACCCGATCTGATATGTATATATATATTAATTTTAATTTATATACATATATAATATTATTAAAAGAAAATACTAACATTAAAATTTAAAATACTTTAATCCACTTTACCTCAACACCCCAAATAAGGCTCACGAAAAAGTCTAGTTTATTTGTCTAATCTTAAAATCGTGATGTTAGTTGTATAATGTTTGAATTTCTGTTTATTTTTATATTGTAATCTAAGATGTTGTTTGTAATTGGTTTGATTGTGTTTAAAACTTACATCTTTAAAAAATTGTGATTTACTTTTAATTATGAAAATTAACAAACTGTAATTTATTTCAGATCTGTTTGTGTTTCAAGTTCAGGTATAATCAACATCATACGTGGAAACCAATAGGAAAAGGGGGTATTTTTACCTTTAACGGGTTCCCCAACTGGGATCGGGAAAATTGAGGAGACATGATAGGGATCCCCGATAAGATCCCTGACGGAGATCAGGGCCGTTACGGGGATGGATTATCAGTTTCGGGGACTGGTATACCAATAACTGGCCCGAACTCGCCTTGTTGCCATTCATATGGTTATGATCTTCTCCATAAGGTTACAAGTGGTAGAAAAACCAATCTTTAAAAACGACAAAAAAAAAATCCTTATCTTTGGGCATCCTCAGCAAGGGTGCCAAAAACTTATTGGTCAGATTTATGCAACCTAAAGAAGCCATAATAATTGAGAAACCACGCAAGTATACATGTTCTCCAATGTCGTCTTAAAACAAGTAATAATGGTAAGAATACTGGATATCGATCCAATGAAGACAGGAAAGTAAGAATTTCTAACAAGTCAAACTTAAATCAAGATTTCAGGTGGTGAATTCGAAACAATATTTGTGAGTGAGTTAACCAACTACCACTATATAACAATAATCAAAAGAAATCATAGTGCAAGATCAGGTTGTGTTGATCGTCTCTCTTAGTGATTTGATGATGATCCTTTTATCTTTCGAAAGATACTTTCTCTTTATTCAGTTTCAAAGATCATCACAGAGTTTATTCAGTGATTGCAAAACAAGTATTGTATCTCTCAAGAGACGAGTATTTTTCAAGAAGACAAAACTCACACCACAAAAACCTTTAGTGATATCAAAGATAAATTTGAAGATCGAGACAAGCAGTTCATGATCTGATGCGGTTTCAGTGATTAGAAGCCTATCTACGAATGTGTAAAATCTACTCAAGATTTAGCATACACTGAAGAAACCTTAGTGTGTCTTATCCTTCTACACACAAAGGACAAACCCATAACTCTCAAAGTAAAGCACTCGTATGGAGTCAATCTATTGTCTCCAAACATGCTTACCTACTTTGTGAAAGAATATTGTTCATATACGGCAAAAGTTTGTACATCTAAAGACAAAAAACAAGCTCACTTCTAGAAGCTTGCCATGTGCTTTGTACTGTCTGACTTGAATTTAATACAACTAATGTGAAGAATTCCACAGTCACCTCTTCTTCAGGATTAGTGAAGACTTCCACTGACTCTAAGCTTTCAGTATCAGTGAAGAAAGATGAAGCCTCTATCTCTAACTCTGCTGACCTATTGAGAAATGGCTACCAAAGTAAACTTGATATTTTTTTCTATTGTATGGAGTTAAAGGTATCTGATATTTAGATAGTTGATGCTCAAGACATATGATTGGAGACAAAACCCTGCTCTCTGGATAAAAAGATGAAAAAGGCCCTTATGTTACCTTTGGAGGAAACGAAAAAGGATATACCAAAGGTTTTGGTATATTAACCAACAGTGCAACCACCTTCAGACTTGTTGCATATGTTGAAGGACTAAAGCACAATCTTCTAAGCATCAGTCAACTGTATGTTAAAGATTTCAAAGTAAAATTTCTCAAGAATACATGTTTTGTCTTTGAAAAAGATGACAATATCACTTTAATAGGCTCTCGTCGAGAGAATGTATATGTCATCAACATGGATTCTCCTTTCATGGAGAATAGTTGTTTTCAAAGCCTCATCAGATATCAATTATTTATGGTCCTTCTTCATCACTCTTTCGCAAAGAAATCTCTCTGCTCAACGTGTGAAAAAGGAAAGTAGACAAAGGATTGTTTTAAATCAAAACAAGTCTTCTCAGTGACTACTCCACTTTAGCTGTTGCATATGGATTTATTTGGCCCTGTCAATGAACAACCCATAGCTGGGTGGCGCTGAATATCGACTGCTTAGTTATCAAAAATGTCAATGTCATCATGCTCAGCTCATCTTTGATGACTTGGCACTGAAGCTGAACAAGCGCAAAGGAAAAAGGTGGTTCCTTACACCAGATTCATAAGCGGGATTCTAGCTAGAATCCTTGCAACAAAATATCCCACTCAGAGCGACCTTACCCACTACAGTCTTGGAACAAGGATTCTTGATCACAAGTCCAAGTCTTCAGACATTAGTCTATTCCCTCAAATGCTGAGGATACCCAATGTTTCTCTTTTTCCTTCCTTAGATTCTCCTCTTCTTCCTTATTTTTTAGTAGCCATGACTGTGGCAAACCTCAGTCTATCCCAGCTACTACCTCTTTATCCTCTTGTAAAAGGATACCCTCTGAAGCCACTCTTAATCCCTCAAAGAAGATTAAGAAAGCCATAAAGGGGAAGCCCTCTCAGCTAGCTAAGACCTCTCTACAGGTCTCATCTATTTAACTTCTTCTTACCCCCGAGGCATCTGCATGTCCCCTTCCTTTCAATTCAGAGATATCTTCTATAGTGTTCGTATGTGTGGCACCTACCCCAAGCACTTAAGTGACTCAAATCACTGAATGTGTGATTCCCAACATTGTTACTACTGATCCTTCACTTCTTTTCTTAACCATTCTCTCATCCCCTCATTCTTTGGTATAGATCACACAAGCTGATGAATCAATGGTGGTTGTCCCCACTATTGATGAAGCTATCACCACAGGACCTGAGGATGTTCCTCTTGACTCCCCTCAGCAACGCGCGACTAATCCTCTCGATAGTGCATTTGATACGCTCATCATTAGCGTTAATCATTCGGATACTGCTGAGGAACCCTTAGGTATACACCTTACCTCTTCCACTTCTTTCTTTGTTACTAACCCTGAGCTCTCTCATGTTTAGAACCTCTTATCTCTCTGCAGGTCCTATGGAGACTAAACCCCCAGCCACTGAGACTGACGCCTATGATATGGTTGGAGATGTCAAGTTGCTTCTCCATGTTGTTGTGAACGTTCTTGACAAGATGGACTAAGTTCAACATGGAATTCCCTTGAAGGAAAACTTGGCTCACGACCTCTCTGTTGTCTAAGACGAGATTCGTGAAGTCAAAAACGAGTTGAACTCCATGGATATGGGAATCCATCACAACTCTGAAGCTATCGCTACTCTCTTTAGCAACGTTAGGGATGTTCAAGCTCAACTTACCAAGAATGATGAGTTACTTGAACGGATTTTCCAGATTCTACAACAACCAACACCTATCCCTGAACCCTTCTTCACTGAAGTTGTTCGTCATCAGCTGGATATGGTCGCTGAGCTCAACCTTCAACAAGCAGAAGCTATTGCTTCAATAGAACAGTCACTGCACAACCTAGTTTCATGCCTCCCTCTCTCCGTTGAAGATGACAAAGAGGAGGAGAAGGCCCTTGAAAACGATGAAGTCGTGGTTACAGTTGACCATCAAGACTTTCCTCCTTCCACCTCTGTATTTCCAAATGTTGGTGAAGATGAGGATGATAAAGATAATGATGATGAGGATCCTGACCCCAGATCCCAGATACAGGTACTATCCTTGGTGGTGATGATGACGACGACGATGATGATGATGATGATTTCTCCATCCAAGTCACACCAAGACAACCTACTAAAGGGATTCTTCTTCAAGGAACTTGTTTCCCACGGGGAGAGATCTTCACACCAACACTCCTACTCTAGCAAAGGGAAAAGAGTTGCTGAAGATAACTTTTCCCTACTTCTTGGGGCACTGAGCCATTCTGAAGATATAAACACCTTAACCACGTTTTTACCCTATCCCTTAGAAACTGAACCCTATTTTTATCTACCTCTATATCTATCTACAACACCTACCCTCAATCTCTCAACCCATCTTCCTTTTTTCAAAACCCTTATGGGTGATGAAGGTGAAGATAAAGTCTACAACCTCATTCCCATGAAGTCGTCAAGACAACTTGTGTGCTCAGAGGATGAAAAAGACTTGAGGATGGCTTAGCCTATAAGTCAATTTGACAAATCCAGAGTCAAAATTCCTCTTGTACCTCTAGATGCAGTAAGTTCGACTTCCTTTCTAAAGTTGAACGCAAGGAATCCCTAAAACCTGAACAAGAGCTGAAGCAACATCAGCAGCAACTAAAAGACATCCTGGAGTTAGCCAAGACTCTAGCTTATCAAACTCATGTAGAAGGTATGTTCACACGAAGTGATCCTCTCAGTGCTCAAGCCCTACTCCTAGAAGAAGCTGAACAGAAAAGACAAAGGATGTGAAAGCTGAAGAATCAGGATCTAAATTGGTGCAGAGAAAGGATCAAAACAAGAATGAGCCCTTACAAAATTTCAAACGTCACAATCAGTGGACGAATGAAGGATGGTAGCCTTCTGGTTTCTATGGTCCTCTTTCGAGAGAACAACGATTCTATCACTGAGTATCCTTCCTTTCTCAGTCAATATGGTTTCTATGAATGGCTCGAGATTCGACAGACAATTCAAAAATTCTTAATCTAGGCATAAGGCTTATATTGAAGAATAAATGAAATAATCAATAAAGTGTTGAAGATCATCGAGGTTCCTCCTCTGCCACAAAAGTTCTCTCGAAGAAGGAACCTTTTTGCTCATGGAGAAGGTTCATCCCACATAAACGAGCGTGAAACAAAATTTTCAATGGATGAGCTCTTAAAGAACAGGAAGAAGCCAAATATCTCAATGTCGAATCTATCATTGCCTGAAAAGGGAGCCTTTATTCCCAATACAGTGCATGTGAAACCTGAATGTGGACTTATGGTTCATTGACTATGATGGTTAGTACAGGTTTCAGCGAGCTGAGTTCCATATCTGCCTATAGATCACCTAGCGTATCTTCGAACTTGGCTGAATGAATATATCTATAGAAAGATGATAGACCGCAGGATTCGAAAGGAATTGCTCAGAAAAAAGATTCAAGGAGAATATGTCCTTGACTACATCAACTTCGACAATCTAGATTAGAAAACCTTTCAATCTTCTAAAACCTTATGTATCTTTTAGTTTTTCTTTCAGTGTATAACTTTTATGTATTAAGCCTACCAAAATCAATTGTAATCATTTGTAATATTTTTTTTTGAAAGATATTTCAATAAAATTATTGGTTCACTACAAAAATATTTCTCAAAAACGTAAATGGGACCCGTACTTACGAGTTCTATTTATTTCTTACATTCTCTGACACCTTTCTTGTCAGTGAATATGCTCTTAGTATTAAGTTATTCATATTATGTAAGTTTCTACTTTCCTTGTAATCCTTTACAATTAAACTAAATTTGCATAATAAACTTTATCACTAAAAAAGATCCCAAAACAGAAAAAAGGGACGTGTATTTTACCAGTACGTTTTTCTTACTGTAAGATCTAAGCAATTTTCTTTATGTTGCTTTGTCATAAGCAAATAAAGGAAGTTTGTTGATCCTCTCTCTCAGTGATTTGATAATGATCCTTTCTATCTTACGAAAAATATTTTCTCTTTATTTAGTTTTAGCGATCATCGATGAATCTTGTTGACCAAGATTAGTTTTTGTCTTATCCTCCTACACACAAAAGACAAACCCATACCTCTCAAAGTAAAGCACTTGTACGGAGTCACTTTATTGCCTCCAAACATGCTTACCTACTTTGCGAAAGACTTTTGTTCATATACGGCAAAAGCCTGTATATCTTAAGACAAAGGACAAGCTCACCTCTAGAAGTTTTCCATGTGCCTTGTAGTGTCTGACTTGCATTTAATGCAATAGGTATAAATAGCTAATAAATTCCTCCTTCTCAGAAGCCAAGCATGTATCTTGAAAATCAACTTTCTACCCAAGAAAGGACTTCCTCACAAGCATAGACTAATTAATCTTTCGAAGTTATCTTTACTTCAAGTGAAGAACACTACCTAATCTCTTCCTTTAGCGAAGTTAATGTTTATTCTTTTAGCAAGTCTTTTCTCTTTTGTTTTCTGTATTTTGTGTCTTTCCTAGATTGTTTTAGATAAGTTCTATATCTTCTCTTATTCAACAAACAGTCTTTAAATTCTCTATTGATCTTCTTTATCAATAAAGGAATTAAAAAGTGAAAATTGTTGTGTTTGTAATCATCCCCCCCTTCTACAAGTTGTTACCTCTAAACTCTTGTAGATCTGTCTGGGACCAATAGGTTGGAATTTCAACATTAAAATGAGGTAGAACCTTGCTACAATATAACTTAAGGTTGTTGGAACAATAGTTTCATACAACACCATTGGATTGAATGACCTTCTTCCGAAGTGTGGATTAGACTTCTTACTAGCAGTACCTAAAATGAATACAAATCCATGCTTAGTACATAACTTTCCTTTCTTTCTATAAAATTTTGCAACCTATGGAGGTTGTTACAACTCTTGCAGCCTTTATAACACTCTCAGTTAAATTATTTGTCTTGTCTTAAATTTAAGTCCAATTCTTTTAAGTAAAATAGCATGTGTCAATTTGTCAAAGATTACTTAAGGAAATATTAAACCCAAGAGTGAATAGTGGAGTATATTACTATGGTAAAAGGAATTATCTATGAACACACGACTTATTCTTCCAAGATTCACTCACACCCAAGTTAGGTGTTTAGCCAATCATTGCTAAAAAAGTAAAAAAAAAACATGAAATTAGCATGCTAAAAATGTAAATGTATAGAAAATATAATATTGTTAAATAAGTAGTAGTTGTTGTAGCAACAAGCTGTAAACAAAAGATTAAGAACATGAAATTAGAACTTGATGTTTAAACAAAAGAGTTGGAGAGATCAAAGCTTAGAAATGCTTGATCTAAGCTCCATGCTCAATACTACTAGCTCCATTTTTTTCTACTTAAGAGGAGGACCAAAGGATAAAGAAAATTACGATCATTCCTCGATATGATAGGTGGAAAATACTTTTTTAAAATGTTCTTTGCATGATCATTCCTATATATGATGGAACCTGCTTGTAAAGTGTTAAACCAATAATTTGCTTGATCCTTTTGAAAATATCTAAACAACTTCATTCGTAAGGCATATTGGGATAAGGGTGACATATCAAAAAGAGGTGTACCATGGATAAGGGTGGCATATCAAGGAGAGGTGTATCTTAAAATAAGGGTGGCAATTGTGAAATCTGAGTTTTGATCATACATCTTGTTATTACATCTATAAAATGTAATGATCTTAAGTTATCTCCTCTCTGTGATATGAGGATTTGGAGTTATTGCTATTATTGATATGATAGCAATGTTGTTATGCAGATGAGGAAAATGGTTTATAACCAGAGAGGCTTTGATTGCCTATGTTTTGAGTTAAGTACTTTGTTTTGAGTTATCTCCTCTGTGTGATATGAGGATTTGGAGTTATTGCTCTTATTGACATATTAAAGAAGTACCAACTCCATAACTCATCAAACATGAGAACACCAATCGCTACAGGTACTAAACTTGACACAGATCCATCTGGTAAGTCGGTGGATGTTAAGATGTACCGTGGAATGATTGGATCATTACTATATCTCACGGCTAGTAGACCGGACATTATGTTTGCCACATGTCTCTGTGCTCGTTTTCAAGCAAATCCAAAGGAATCTCACCTTTCTGCTGTAAAAAGAATCTTTCGATATCTCAAAGGGACTCAATTTTTGGGTCTTTGGTATCCAAAGTATTCTAGTTTCGATCTTATTGCGTACATAGATTCTGATCATGCAGGTTGTAAACTCGATCGAAAGAGAACATCAGGGAGGTGCCAATTGCTTGGGGACAACATAAGTTGGACCTCGAAAAAGCAGAAATACGTCTCTACTTCCACCGCTGAAGCAGAGTATGTCGCTGCAGCCAACTGCTGTTCCCAAGTGATATGGATGAAGACTCAACTGAAAGACTATGGCATAGAGTTTGAGAAGATTCTAATTCTGTGTGACTCAGAAAGTACTATTGCAATCACAGCCAACCCTGTGCAACACTAAAAAACAAAGTACATCGATGTTCGATATCATTTCATCAAGGACCATGTAGAGAAAGGTACGATTGAAATGTTCTTTGTAAACACAAATTTACAACTTGCTGACATCTTTACAAAACCTCTTGATGAAAAGAGATTCAATTTCCTAGTTAGCAAGTTGGGTATGCTAAATCTCTCAAGCTAGAACAGAGCCTCTGCATCCCTTGATGCATACTGTCTTTTTCACAGAACAGAGCCTCTGCATAGTTCATGCAGAGTCTCTTACTTGTCTAGTTCTTTTGCAATACATAGCCTCTGTACCTTGATCATTATGCATATACTCTACTTATCACAAATGATCCAAGCATAGTTCAAGGGGGAGCAACTAAGAATGGCTAAACTCAAGGGGGAGCACAACATCATCTCAGAACAAAGCCTCTGCGTTAAAACTCATGGTTATTGAACAGAGCCTCTGTATGTACTATACAGAGCCTCTGTCTCTAAACATAGGAAAGTGTTCTCCACAGGATATGTATAGTCTAATCATGAATCTCTGTTTGAGATCTTAAGGTATGTCTTCTTCTGCATATAGTTCTCTGGTTCTAATCAAAACCTCTACCTTTCTCAAATCAGAACTTTTACACTTAAAAACTTTTCTTGTTGTTTTTCAAAAAAATAAAACATATTATTCAATTCGGAAGGCATAAAATTTTTCTTTATTTATTTAATAAAAATTGTTACCCAGAATAAGCATCACCGCCTGTGAGCTTATCTTTTCAAATGTGGGAGGCGCCACTGGCAGTTGGATATCCACATGGCAGGCCCCTACAGGCTTTGTGAAAACCGGTTCAGTTTTATCTGACGTTTGGGACGCTAAAACACTCAAGTGATTTAATTTTTTTTTTTCTATTTAAACAATTTCTAACCCCCAAATTAATCTTTTATGCTTACAAAATTTCTCAAAGAACTCTCGTCGACTTCAACCTTTCAACCGCCATTGCCAGCACTCAAAGCTCTCAAACCTGCAATTAAAGATCATTTCCATCTTCTACCAATCATCCTGATTCCCAAGTAAGTACCACAAATCCGTTCTTTCATCCCATTTCTTGATTCAAGAACTAGTTTCATTGAAACCCTAGAAATATGTTATCTTCTTCCAAAACCCAAAACCTGCAACAATGTCCTCCTCAGAATCTAGAAACTCCCAAACTCTTACCACAACCCACAAAACCATGGAAGATATCA